GCATTGGGGTAAATTGTAGTCAATGTCATGAGACAAAGTGTATGTGAACTGCTGTATGGAAAGTGAATTTGCACTGTAAACTTTCACCCAAATCACAATAAAAAAAAAAAGAAAAAGAAAAGTACAAATCTATTCCCACGTCTGGGATGGAATGTGAGGACATAAATATGGTGGGTTGCAGCCTAGTGATCTTACTTGCATTATTCCCTCTGTTGGGGGCACCCTTCCCCCAGGCCCTCTCCCTCACCTTGTTCTGGTCTCTTCACAATGTCATCTCCTCAGAGAGGCTGTCTCCAAACATTGTCACTAAAATAACCACCTCCACCACCCCATCTCTATCACTCTCTCCTCTTACCCTACTTTATTTTTCTTCAGCACTTAGTACTACCTGACATTATAAATTTAGTTTTATATTCTCTGCCTTCCACATTAGAGTGTTATGTTGGTTACCTCTCATGACACTCTAACAGACATACAAGTGGAATGGCTTTAACAAACAGGAGTTTATTCTTACAGTTGTGGCTAAGTTCAAAGTGCTAGGCTCTAGGGGCTTGGTGAAAGCCCCTCACTGTAGGGCTTCAGCTCTGCCTCCTGTTCCCGGTCCACTGAAGCTGGAGGCTTTTCTTCACTCAGGCAGCTGCTGGCTGCTAAGGCTGACAAGCCAAAGGTCATCAATTAAAAAGGCAGAGTCCCCATATTACCAAACAACAACAGGCCACTAATTCAAATCCAATGATTGGCAGGGCATGGCAGGCTGCTGAACAATGACTTGGCTACATGCATGGTTCAAGCATGCCAACTGCTATAGACCATTCCCAAAGTTTCTCCTTATATACAGAAAGCAGATCACATCCCTAAAGCAGCTACTCAGCTGCTTGTGGTAGATCCCATCATGTAGTTGACTGCCAGTCTCATCATGGGGAATAACTACCACCAGCTACCCAGCCACTTAAAACCAGGCCCAGCCAAGTTGACATATAACCTTAACTACCACAAGTGTTAACTCTATGAGGGTAGAAACTTCATCTGTTTCACCATTGTACCTCCAGAGCCTGGCTCAGTGTCAGCCTGTGACAGGGGCTCAATAAATATCTGTTGACTGAATGGAAGGAAAACTCATTATAACCCAAGGAGAGAGGGAACCATATCTCACAGTTCCATTATTTTTCCATAAAAATTCTCCAACTTCACTGAATTTGGATCCACTCACTCTATCATTTATGTGCACTATAAGATGAAATAAGGAGCACACACAAAGAGCTCTGGTGGCACAGTGCCTAAGGCATTTGACAGCTAACCAGAGGCTGCCAGTTCAAACCCCCAGCCACTCCTCAGAAGGAAGATTGGGTAATCTGCTTCCGTAGTGATACTGCCTCGGAAACCCAAGGAGGGTTTCACTCGACGGCAGTGAGTTTGGTTTTCTGGTTTGCAAGATGAAATAAATGACAGAAATAATAGATTTTTTCCAAGTACCTTGGAAATTATGTAACCTCTTCCTCTTCCATTCCTAATCATCCAACATGGTTTCATCTTCTTGAACAGTATTTCTGAAGTCCTCCTCCATACTATGTCTCATCACTGTGTCTCATTAGAGACACAGTTATTCCTTTTGAATGAACTGGTTTTCTGAATTCTGTAACCATTACATTAAATTAAAAAAAAAAAAAAAATGATGAGAGGAGGGAACTCAGGTCACTTAGTGGCAAAGACACAGACAATTCAGCTGAGGATACAAAAGGACCTCAGAATGTTCCCCAACATGCTTCACCATCATATCAAAGGGATTTCTTTAGCCTGTAAGAAAGAAGAGCTCAGAGCCTGCTATTGCTAGAACATTCTCTTTCTCCTGCCACTTGGAAGAAGGACAGAGACCCTGCTTCATGTTTACAAAAGAAGAAACCAAGAATACAAAAAGGCAAAAGTGATTCTCCTCATCCCTGAATCCCACCCCAAGAAGACAATGAGATAGCATCATCTGGTTCACAGAACACAGGGATCAACCTAATTATTCATAGCTATTCACCTATTTCATAGCTACGTTCTAATAAATGGCATTTCCTGAGCATGACTGGTTCCCTAGAGTCAAGCATCAAAAGCCTTATCAGATCAACTGAAAAAGAGGATCTAATGTCCCCAATCATACCTCACACAAATGGTAAACTCCAGGGTCTGCTTTCTACAACGCAGGAACATTTACTCTTCCCTTGGGTATCAGGTACACACCTAAATGCCCCTAAGAGTCCTGAGACATTCCATCCATGTTGTTAGGCTGGCCCAAAGAAACTTTGTAAAGTGGCCTAGAGCCATCACATCCTTGTTAATTTAGCATTTCTTCTCCAAAGAATGTACTGATAAAGCATTCTTGAGGATGTGGAGGAATTTTCAAACTTAAGAAACAAGTCATTGAGAATAAAGTTGGAGGAGTTATATTTGAGCATTGGGGCCTGCTCACATCACACTTTGTAGGTCACTCACTAATCTGTCAATGCAGTTAATCCTTCTGAAGCAACTTCAGAAACCCAGTACAATATGTTAGTAGATCCTCTTCAACCTCTATCCTAGGTGAATAAATGGTGGTACTAGATACTGCCACTACCCATCTGTCAGTTTATCATACTGTGGTGGCTTACCTGTAACTACAATGTTGGAAGCTATGCCAATGGTATTTAAAATACCAGTAGAGTCACCCATGATGAACAGGTTTCAGTGGAGCTGCCAGGCTAAGCAGATTAGGAAGAAAAGCTTGGTGATTTGCTTCCAAAAATTAGCCAATGAAGACCCTATTGGTAACAGTAGAATATTGTCTGACATAGTGCTGGCAGATGAGCCCCCTAGGTTGGAAGACACTCAAACAAATACATAGTGGCCACAACAACAGACTTGACCACAAAAACAATTGTAAAGATGATGCAGGACTGGACAATGTTTCATTCCATTGCACACGAAGCTGATTCAGTGGCAACTAAGACAACAACTACATACCGTGTACTGGAGAGAACCAAAAATTTCACTCATTTTGACTCTAAATGGAGCCAGGATTGTATGATTCCATTTATATAGCTCTTCCCACCTGTACAATCTTCTACATTTTACTTTGGTGAGCAGTGACTGGGTCCTAAAAGCTTGTGAGTAGCCATCTAAGATGCAATAATTAGTTTCTCTTGTCTAGAGCAAAGAAGAATGAAAAAAAAAAAAAAAATCAATGACACATGAAAACAATTAGTCCAAGGGACTAGTGGACCATGTGAACTTCAGCCTACCTAACCCTGAGACCAGAAGAACTAGATGGTGCCCAACTACCACTGTCAACTACTCTGAAAGGGATCAAAATAGGAGATTCTGGATATAGTAGGAGAAAAATGTAGAACAAAATTCAAAATCATAAAAAAGACCAGGCATACTGGTCTGATAACCAAAAAACCAAACTCGCTGCCATCAAGTCGATTCTAACTCACAGTGACCCCTATTGGGTTTCCAAGGCTGTAAACCTTTATGGAAGCAGATCACCTCATCTTCCTTCCACAGAGCAGCTGGTGGGTTTGAACCACTGATCTTCCGGTTAGGAGCCAAATGCTTTATCCACCACACTAGAGGAGCTCCTTTACTGGTCTGATAGAGATTGGTGAAACCCCTGAGACTATGGCCCTTAGTCACCCTTCAGGCCTAGAATTGAACTCACTCCCAGTGGCTTCCAGCCAGACAATGCAGAGGCCTATATGGTGAACATTTACAGTATGTAGATACACTCCTTAGAACAATCAACCAAGGGAGATCAGAGGACAGCATTTGCATAAGGAGATAGCTCAGAGGGCAGGAATGCACAAGAAAGGAGGACAGAGAGGATCGCAATCAACTTCATGAAACAGAATGGGTATGAACTGTTGAACAGAAAATGAATTTGCTCTGTAAACTTTCACCCAAATCACAACAAAATAATAATAATAAAAAAAAGGTTTAAAGAGCCTTACACAAAAGAGGCCAAAAAGCCAGGTCCCTGTCTGTGCGAAGACTCAGAGCTGCTCCTGCCATCCTCAGGAACCTAGAACTCACCTGACATCTGCCAAGATGGTCAGAGAAAGACCTAGAAAAGTAAAGTCTCTCCTATCAGGGAGAGAAGAGGAGGGAAGGGCACTTTGATGTTGCCTTTCTTTGATCTGAACTCAGTTATTGGCCTGCACCCCAGCCCCTGGGCTGCAGAGAACTACAGATGGAAGAAACAGCTGGGCAGCCCAGAGGAAACCGGGAAGGATGCAAAGCAGAGTTGAGTACGCACTCACATGGATGCACACGCCTGCATCCCACACACGCACAAAGCACGCAGACAGCCGCCTCCACACACTGACACAGACGCTTCCATTCAAACAACTAGCATAGGCACCCCAATAGTTGATGGCATTGTTACACACACATACACACACACACAAACACACACACTCCTTCCTGCCCACTCTGACCCCAGAACTGGAGGCACTGCAGCGCCTGCTACCCTCCCTGTCTCCTAGATCTGGGTTTTTCCAGCGGGAGCCTCACTCCCTCTACTGCAATCTCTGAAAATTGGTGTCTGACGCGGCTGCTCCTGCACATTATTTATTTATTTCCTCCTTTCCTCCCGCCGAGACCCTCCTGTCAGAAGGAGAGCTGCAGTCTGGGGAAAGGACACAGGCAGGAAGCTGCAGGGACAAACGGAGGCAGAGAGTACAGAGGGGAGGATCACTCAGAAGCCCCCAACGGGCTCTTCCCCGGAAGGCCATGAGCACCAGGCAGGAGGCCAGGAGAGATGAGGGAGACACCGGTAGGAGGGTACAGGAGGCAGAGATTCGGGACCCAGCCCATCTGAGCCAGCAGCGCCGTTTCAAACAGGCCACCCAATTCCTGCACAAGGACTCCGCTGACCTGCTCCCCCTGGACAGCCTCAAGAGACTTGGCACCTCCAAGGATTTGGTGAGGCAGCCCCTTCCCCTCCCTGGCCCTTTCTACTTCCCAGCTCCTGAGGAGGGGATGAGAGGGCCATGAAGTGCAGACCCCAAGCCTCCCCTCCCTTTGCTGAGTATTGGGGAAGGACAGTCCCTCCAACTTATGCGGTTTCACTTTTGACTGTTCTCAGGCTCTTTGTTGGGTATATTCCCCTGGCTTGGTGGCTCTCAAAGGACCTTATTCTCATCATTCAACTTCCTCACCTCTTCCCCTAACAACCCAAGGCTTATCTTTATGAATAGTGAGGAGCTTTGCTATTAAGGAGTAGAGGCTTAGAGGAACTCAGGAATCCTCTGGGGTAGCTATTAAGGCTGGGAGACCCTAGAGAATGGGTCAGTTTAGGGTGGTGGTTTCCCTACTCTCCCCAAACTATAGATTTTCTCATACAGATCTGTCCATTCATTTGCATTTTTCCTTCATAGAATTAAAGCATTAAGGGCCTCCATCCTTGCCAGGGCATCAGGGTTTCATATGACTCTTGGCTTGGGCCACCTGGTCTCTTTGAGTACCCCACTCCCTCCCTTAAATGTGGAAGGCCCCTCCCCAGGCTCCTTTCCTTCCATCCCCCTGCAGCAGCTATAGCCTTCAGAGGGGATGGGGGTAACACTGAGGCTACGGAACATGTGCATACAGACCCGTTACCCTCTGCCAAGTGGTGGTTAAGAGCATGGGCTTCAGAGCTACATTGTTTGGGTTCAAACCCTGCCTCTGCCACTTACTAACTTGGGCAAATTACTTTATGTCTCTGTGCTTAGTTTCTTCACCTATCAAATGACGATCAAGTTAACAGTGTCTACCTCATAGGGTTGTTGTTAGTTGTATGAGGTAATCCATATAAAGTACTTAAAACCATGCTAGTGGAAAGCACTATGTATTTGTGGACTATTATTCCTCCAGCTACTATCCATTCAGTCTGAGACAAGGTAAGCTTGGTAGAGTCCAGAGAATATGCAAGCAGATCTGGTCTCTGATCCAAAGAAAGGAAGGCCTTGCAAGAAAGCTTGGGAGCACTCTGTTCTGTCTCCCAGCTGTACTCAGGGCCCAGGGAGGGGGGTGGGCACACTCAGCATTGACATCTTTGGAGGCCTGAGGCCACTCCAGCTGCCACTTTTCTCCAGAAATCTGGAGGCAAGCCCAGCCCCTCACTGCCTTTCCTGGCCTAGCCCTACCCTTCATACTCCTCCCAGCCAGTGCCCTCTCCAGGAACCTTGCCCATAACCAGGCCATCTTCTAGCCCCATTCCAGCAGCCCCCAAGGAGAAATGATCTGATTAGGGTATTAATTCAGAGAACCCCAAGGGGCACATTCCCTCCTGCAAACATGGCAAGTTCTTGGGGTCCCAGCACCTAGGACGTTACAGCTTCTAACCTTTGGGGATCATGCTACATCTTTTTATTTGGCTCCAGATAAGAATCTCTATTAACAGTGCTATCTGAGAAATGGAGACAGGTTTGGCCTTCTGATGAGAAAGTTCTGGGCTTTCCACTTCTCCTCTCAGCCTCAGGACCTCCCAAATTGGGCCCCAACAGTTACCTCCTATGGCTCTGGGAGCAAAGACTCAACCGTTGATTGGGAGATCCCTTGAGCCTCCCTCCCTAGGATTGCTCTTGAGCAACCTGCTTAGTGATGGGAGGAGTCTGGAGTCTGAGTCCATCCGTGGGAAAGGTGGGAGGAGAGATGGGAACTGGAGAGCCCACTCTTTCCAGCCAGTCCCACAGCTCACTGCCCTGTTCCCAGACCTGTGTCTCCTTGCTGGCAGGGAGCAGTCTCAGGGGCCTCGTTAAGCCAAGGGTATAAAAACAATCCCAGGCTCCCACCAAGAAAGGGCAGGTGAAGAGGAGTGTGCAAGGATGGAGGGTTGTGTTCATTCTTCAGCGGACGTGCCTAATATATGCTGAGCAAGGCCCTGGGATCTAAAGACGGTGAAGCACAGACCTGACCTAAAAGGCTCTCCAGGCTGATGGGGGAGTGAAATCCACAAATAACATCTGTGAGAAGCATGATGTAGGGGCAAGGAGAGAAGGGGCACTAACCCAGCCTGGTGTGTGCACAGGGGGAGAAATATGAAGAGATCAGAGAGGGTTTCCTGGAGGAAGTCAATTCTGCATGAATTATAAGATACACACAGAATTCTAGATTTAACAACAAAAAAAAAAAACCCTCTCCCAAATAAAACATTAAGTCCTGAACAGTTTGCGGAGCCAGTTGTCCAGTCTGGCCTAAAGAAAAGAAAGAGGAATTTCAGGAAGAGGAGTGAGCAAACAGGAGCAAAATCCAGAGCCAAGAAGCAGCATGGCATTGGCCTGGGGTAACAGAAGCAGTGTAGTTGCTAGGCAGATGTGAGCTGTAGTTAGACAAGGCTCAAGGTTCAGGCAGCAGCCAGGCCTAGATGGTGGTTCATGTTAAAAAGTTCCAGCTTTTGTGTATGCAGTGGGGGGCCTTTGATGGCTATTAAACAGGGGAATAATATTAAAGCACTTTAGTGCTTTAACGTGCACTTGAATCTCCTGGGGATCTTGTTAAAAGGTAATGTCTGAGTCCGTAAACCTGGGGTGGTGCCTGAGATTCTGCATTTCTAACAGGCTTCCAAGTGATGTTCAAGCTGCGATCTGAGGACCACACTTGGAGTAGCAGGGGTTTTAGATGGTGGAGGCTTCAAGCAGGTGTGTTTAACAAGTAATAGTACAGGGACACGGAGACCACTTAGAAAGCTGTTGCAGTGGCCAAGGAGAGCTACAGTGAGGAGATATGGACGATAGACACAGGAGGCAAAACGGCAGAATTTAGAAAGTGACTGGACAGGGTGATGATGTTTGGGGGTGAGGGAGAGCTCAAGGATGCCTCTCAGCACCTGAGTTGAAGATTTTGACTTCTTTTCATAACATTATCAACCCTGGGATCTGCACTCATTGAAGGATAAGGTCAGAGAGGGGAAAACAGAACTCCTACTCAAAAATGTATGTTGCAGATTTGAGACAAAATTTCCACCAAGCATAATACTAGTTCCTGAAATGTCCCTTCAGCCAATAGGTCAATCTAACATGAACTGTTCTCTTCCCATTTCTTCATTGTTGAACAATCCCAGAAAAACAGCATGATTTGATACAGGGTTCACTTGGCTTTAATTATCTGGCGGCTGGATTCCTTCGGTAAGGTCCTTCCCCTCTTTGTGTCTGCAACCTCCTGCCCCTTTCTTACCCCTGTGACACTTAAGAATGAGGTGGGGTTGGGAAGAGCATCCTGGAATACATAGGGTGGGGAACTGAACAACCTAGATACTTTGGTTCAGACTTGTATGTCCCTTTGTTTTGTGCTGGAGCCAGCAGCCACACAGTGTGCTCCAAAGACGCCTGATGGAGGGAAACCAGAGTCAGCTTCGGATCAAGCCTCCCCTTGTGCAGGCCCTGATTCAAGACCAGGAGAGCAGCAGAGAGACCAGCGGGACAGAAATTCCAGCTCTTCTTGTCAATTGCAAGGTGAGAGGACTCCTGGCTCCAACTTTCATTACCCGACCTGCCTGTGACTGGCTCTCTTCACCCACCCTCCTTTCTCCCCCTGGTGGTGACAGAGTGAGAAAGAACCTCTCCCTTTAGCCTGGAACTCAAAATGGGGTCTTCTATCTTCTTTGGAGACCCTGAGTGGTGCCAACAGTTAACACACGTGACTGCTAATTGAAAGGCTGGAGGTTTGAGACATTCAGAGGTACCTCAGAAGAAACATCTGGGAATCTACTTCCAAAACATCAGCCATTGAAAACCCTACAGAGTGTAGTTCTACTATGACACACATGGGGGTCACCATGAGTCAGAATCAACTCGAAAGCAATGCATTTAAGAGTTCCTGGCTGGCATAAACAGTTAAGCACCACTAATCTTACAAAAGATCAGTCATTGAAAACGCTTAAGTGCACGGTTCTACTCTGGAACACATATGGTCGCTGGGATCAACACAACGGTTTTTCTTTACTCTCTGACTCAATCCATCTTCCCGCTGTACAATTTCTTCTGGCACCACCATTATTCTATCTCCTTCCTATCTATCTATCAGCTCTGGTAGCGTAGTGCCTAAGGCACTTGACTGCTAACCAGAAGGCTGGCGGTTCAAACCCACCAGCCACTCCTTGGAAAGAAGGTTGGACAATCTACTTCCATAGTGATACCGCCTCGGAAACCCAAGGAGGGGTCACTATGAGTCAGGGCCGACTCGACGGCACAAAACAACAAATCCTCCTCTATCAAACTATAATATTTAAATGTAAGTATGAAAAGACTTATGTGTGTTCTACATATATGGATGGTGTGCACATATATGGCTGATGCAACTCTTCTGGAGAGAACTCATGCATTCCAAGGTGATAGCCCCATCATTTCTAAAGCCATTTAATATCATTTCTGCCAGTCTTTGCTCAGGGTTTCCTCTGCTCTCCAATCACTGTATACCCATGTCCTACAACCTTTTAAGGCTAACCTTAGATGTTACTTCCTCCTTGAAACTTTTTCTGATTTCCCTAGTAGGAAAAAGCCTTTCCTCCCTTTCAACTTCTATAGCACTTTACTCACAATTCTCTCAGACCTTAAAACTTTCTACCATATTATTATTGTTGTTGTGTGCATTGAGCCGATTCTGACTCACAGTGACCCTATAGGACAGAACAGAACTGCCCCACAGAGTTTCCTAGGTTGTAATTTTTATGCAAGCAGATTGGCAGGTCTTTTCTCCCGTGGAGGCACTGGTGGGTTTGAAGCAATGACTTTTCAGTCAGCAGCCAGGTGCTTTTATCTGTTGCACCACTTGGGCTCCTCTTTTTATCATGCAGTAAGCTAAAGGACAGGATTCACTGATGCACCTTCCAGTAACTTATGCAAAGTATACGATCAATAAATGTATATAGAACAATGAAAAGACTACATGTTTGTCTATATCCTAAAGGCATACCAAAATGTCTGTATATATGTCCAAAAGAAAGTATGCTTGTCTTCCTTTCTTCCTAATGGTGAACTTCTTGGTTACCCACATCTGAATTTCCTAACAAGGGATCCTAGTCTTCTTGTCTCTTCTCCATTCCTAACCTAGTGTCTCCTCCCCACAGCCTCCCATAAATTCTTGTAAATAAACAATCCTCCATGTTTGGCCAATCTTTCCCAAACTTATGGACTCACTATGTGTTGTTCCACTTCCTTTTTGATTCCTCTGAGAGTTAATTTTTTAAATTTACTTCTATTGTGAGAACATACACACCAAGACCTTCACCAATATAACAACTTCTACATTTGCAGCTCAGGGACACTGATGACATTTTTCATGTTGTGCCACCGTTATTACTAACCTTTTCCAAAAGATTCCACCACCATTAATATACACTCAATGCCTTGCAAAGAAAAACTTTTCCTTTCCCCCTCCCTCCTATCCCTGGTAACCACTAATAATCTAAGTTTATACATAAATAAGTATTTATACATATATATATACAAGGAGCTCTGGTGGTGTAGTGGACAAGGCACTTGACTACCAACTGAAAGGTCAGTGGTTCAAACCCACCAGCTGCTCCACAGAAGGAAGATGGGGCAATCTACTTCTGTAAAGATTTACAGCCTTGGAAACCCAATGGGGATTGCTATGAATTGGAAACGACTCAATGACAATGAGTC